GACCTAGAGTCATTTTGCTTTTTGAGTCAAGACTTATAATAAACTGAAAACTACTAAACTATTATATGATCCAACTCAAAAGAATTTTTCCAGCTGATCAGCTATCTAAATTGCAAATGAAAATTTGGTCGTATCCATGATAGAAAGTTTCTTACCACAGCAGCAATATCATTATTGGTTTTTTTTTTTTTTTATTTATGCATTTAATAATACAATGATTAGGAGAAAGATGTGTTTGAGGGCTTTTTTTAATTAGCAGCAAGAGCTGAGAAAATTTGTTACTCTTAATATTTAGCCTTATTATGGGATTTTTTTTGAAAGGCTTAATTCATATTTGACATCACCTACACCTAATTTTCAGTGCTTATTAAATAACTGTTTTCAGTTACTTATTAAGGCTATATATTAAAGTAAATAAGACTGTGAAGAGAAAAGTATTTTCATTTCTCAGTTTTAGATCAGCCTGAATTTCATAAAACTGTAACTCAAAGCAGCAATATTCTACTCTCCTTTCCAGTGAGGTACAATTCCAACAACAAAATCCGTTAAGGTTGACTTTTCTACATCCTTTAAATGGAGAGTTGTCCCTTGAGTATTTTTATAGAAAGCCTAAGAGAATTGGGTGCATGCCTACACTAAGAGGCTTTGAGAACACCTGAAATGTCTGTTTCCAGCTTTTTGTGATAGTGTTAACTGGTAGAAAAGGTGTACTCAAAAATTTGCTGGCTTTCTGTAAGGTACTGTTAAGTAAACATTTAAGAAAAAAGGTAACTAGAGAGAAGATGAAATCTTTCTGTTATTTCAGTGAATAGAGTATCTCATAGAGAACATGCTGAAAGTCTTAACATTTCCATGAGTCAATAAATAGTTTTATTCGGATAAACATTCTCTTGTTAATATTAGGTCAGGTGTCTTTTCTTCTTCATTCTTTTTATTCCTCTAAATTGACACTTTTGAAGTAATATGTTGTACAAACATGGTTAGTGCATTTTCAAAATGTCATTTTGAAGTTGAATGCTTAATGACTTGTAGTTTTTCTGCAATGTATGTATCTGGCAGTTTTCCTCAGCACAAGCCTGCTAACATAACTCACTCCAAGCTGATTTATTATTTTTATTCAACCAGGTGCTACATGGGTTTGGCAACTTTGGCAATGCTATTGTCTGTAATGACTCTGCACTTGGTGCTTGATGATGCCAACACGTGCAGTGAATTTACTGGCACCAGCAGAGAATATTTCATTCCCTTTTCTCTTCGTGAAGAATCAAGCTTCATCTCCTATATTGCTTGCTATCCAATACATCTCATGTAATTTCCTTGATTTCTTTGATACTTCTCCATTTCCAGAATGTTCAGTTATGATTCTGCTGACTTAATAGCTGCTCTTAGAAGTAGAAAAATAGTTCTGTTATGTTGAAGTTTATTTATAATTATTTTCACTGTTTACTTTTCATCTCATGGGGTCTATTAGGCATCTCTACTTTGTTCAGGAGGCTGTATCATAAACAAGTTTATTTTTTAAAAATAGATCTGGAATATCACTTGGCAAGATGTAGGAATAGCGTGAATAAATTTATTTCTGCAGAGGAATTAAAACTTCCTTTTTTTATTGTATTAATCTCTTCTTCCTAACTCTGAAGATAAGCTAAATTCAGGTGAAAACGTTGAAAATTTTAGTACTACTTAGTACAATATTTATAATAATAATTTAAAGTTCTGTGCTGGTTCTGACATTTCCCCTGAACTTGAATAGGAGCTAAATAACCACTGTAGAGTCTACAAGGAAGATTTCTCTGTCAGTCTTTGCTGTGGTCTATCTGGTATATTGCAACCATTAATTTACAGTTTTTGTTTATGCTTTTTGAAGAGTATTTTATTTATTAATGGATGACTATGAAGTCTTGTACTTGAGCATTCATATTATACCTGCACAATTTCTTACCACTGCAAGCCTGAATGGTAGCTACTGCATATCGCAGTGCACGTTTATTTCATTTGTGGTTCTGTAACATGTCATCACTTTTCTATTAAATTTAATTTTTTCCTAAGGGAGCAGTTTGAGGGATAATTTAACCCTTTCTTTATCCTTTTCTTGTTATACTTGTAAACTATGAATCTCCTATTATTTTGAGGGTCAAAATAGGATGACTTGCAACTTAAAGTTCTGTTAACTTTGAAGCACTTCCATCCTAAGTACATATTTTGTTTTCTAAATGAATTCTCAACACAAACAATCTAATCTTTGCCTGTATGTCATTACTTACTGGATTGCAAACTATGCAAAAAGCAAAGTTGTGTTAAATCTGAATTTACTTAGTATTGATTTAATGACAAAGATTATTTTTCTTACTTACGTGTCTCAGTGGAATGTGAAAAATACTTTCTAGACCCCCTTTTCAGCAAGCTGTTTTTAATATGCATGACACTACAACCATATAGATAAGAATCAGACAGGAAAAGGTAATCTGTATCTACAAATTTTACTTATCCTCTCATCACATGTTCTTCCTATGATGTGAGGGGATCTGAATAGCTTTGTTAAATGAGCTGTACCTTTAAGATAAACGAGACAGTTCAGAACCCAGGACTATACTTAACACTGGAAAATATAAAGACAGTGATCTAAATGCCAATCTCTACTCCATGATCAATCGGGGCCATACACAGCAGATCACACACACAAAAAAAAAAAAAAAAAAAAAAAGCTCCATCTGGTTCAGAAGACAGTGGCCAGTCCCATAAATAACACAAGCTGTCAGGAAAACATCATTCCTATAGTACTCTGTGTATTGGCTTTTCGTCCAACTGCAGATCCACTGACAAGGAGCTTCAGAGCTTTTGCATAGTTTTGAACCATACTTATCTCTTCAACTCACCATAACATCCACATTCCCAAATGAGCAGGGTAGAGAATGAAATGTACAGAAGTAAAGAACATGGACATATACAATTCTAGAATCCTATTACACATGCAAGCACACACAGAAACACACAACAGAAGAAAAAAAAGAAAAAGTCCAGATTTTCCTTTCAGCCGAGCTTTCCTGAAGCAGGGAAATAAAACTCATCAGTAATGTTGTATTTGGAAAATGCAATTGCAAACTCCACACCATCTTTACGAGGTAAAGATGAACAATAAGCTTTACTTTATGCTTGTTTCATTTTAAATACTTCTATTGGTACCTAATAAGTAGTTGGTGATTCTAAAGATGCAAAAGAAAGACTTCTGGTTTTTACTTGGTTAAAAGAGCTATACATTATTTTCACATGCAGAAGATTTTTTTTTTTAGTGGTGGAAAAGGAAATATCATTCAGTACTGAATATTCATATCCTGGTAGCATCTGTTACTAGGTCAGAAAGTGAGAGTGCTGGGCGTTGTACAGGCGTATGACAAATAAATAATAGTTCTGGAAGTTCACAATATTGGTGCGGAACAGAAATATGGCTGCAATTTTTTTTTAGATAGAGGATTTACCCTCATAAAAATTGACAACAGAAAATGCTAATACAGAACATGAGTAATGTCAAGGTGGTGTTGAGCTCTGTCAAAAGAGAAGGATCCACAGGCCCAATACTGGCTGTGGAGTTTCTTATCAGTTGCTTCAAGTGTTGTCTCACCATCTTGGTTTTCCTCTGGGGGGTGTAACATCACTTGATGTCTCTTCTCTGGCTTCAAATTTACACACGACTTGTGCTCAAAGTGAGTGGGGTCCAAGGAGAGGAGTGAAAATTACTTTCAACAATCTCATTAATTTTGAGGAAATCTGTTGTGTGAGGGGTATCAAGCTTCCTTGGTCCAGTTCTGTGCTAAATCTCTAGGACATGATGGAGCCACCACTTCTCAGTGTTTTGTCAGTTTTACTTAAACATCCTCGCCTCTACTGCAGAGGGAGACAAAGGATTCTCCATTTTTCTAGGATATCCCCTGGGGAAAAGAAGAAAAGACATACAGTTTCTGTATGTATAGTTTCTTAGTTAAACATACAGTTCATAGCTGAACTTTATTTCTGAAGAATTAAGTAGTTACTTGCATGCTCGAAATATTAGAGGATGTGAAAGTTGTGGCATGAACAGGATGAAGAGGGGCTGTGGATGTTTTGTTTGCTCAGAGGTAAAATGGTGATCCCCCGCTCCTTCCTGTTAATCTGTTGAAGATAAATAGCAAATTGCTGTATTTATTTCTTCTCTCTGGTTTGCATTTAGAAGACAATACACAGAAAATGCACTTTGAAACATTTCCTTAAAGGCACATGATAAATCCCTAGGGAGAAATTCGCAGTCTAAAGAGAGCCTTGTGCTTGGGTTTGATAGTGACAGATAGCAATGGAAATACAGTACTTGATGCTCCGAACTAAGAGACCATTATGTGTGCAACTCACAGTGAGACTATGGCAGAATAAAGCTTCCCCCCCAGCCCCACCCAGAAGTGTGGCTGCCTTTGTAATTTTAATTGGTCTGTGTTTGTGGAGTGGGGCCTCTATTTACTTATGGCTTGGGGCTTGTGTTTACCAAGCCTGGTGGAGGCCAAGTGTCATATCACTGAAGCTTAGTTCCTGCAAGCTCTCCTGCTATATCTTGAGGCACTTTTCTTTTCAGTATCTGTGCCTGTCTAATTCGCGAGCTTCTGTGAAACAAGCACAGGAGGGTACAAGGCCTACAGGGAGGAATTACACCTAATTACTCAAATAATTGCTAGGCTGTTGCCTTCTTAGTCACTGAAAATAATTTCCAGGTCCCTGGCTTTTATAGATAGTCTTCTAGAGGCAGGAGGACACAGCCCCCTTTTTAACTCAGCCCATTCACTCACAAAATCAGAACACTCGAGCCTGCAAAATTAATAAGCACCACTTCCATTACATATATTTTAGGTTGTTGTTGCCGTGGCGATAAAGTCAGGGACATTGAATCTCCTCTGTTGAGCCATTGTTATCATCCCTGGCCATCTGCTGCAGAGGAGTGATATTCCATCTCATTTGCATGATGACTGATATATGGGAGGTTTGGAAGGACATATGCCACAGCAATCATGTGATGAAAATTAAAGTGAAAGTTTTGGGCCCAGAGCCGAAAAAAATCTGTGTATGCGCATGAGGCTGTTGATGTGCAAATGTGAATCATATTGAGAAGGTTTGAATAGGGAGGTGTGACGTAAAGAGGGGACACAAACGCAGGTGCTTATCTCTAGGCAGTCAAAGGCACTGGATGTCATATCATGGGAACTACCTTTCAAAGACACAGCTTTAGTGCACAGTTCAGCACACAAGGGAGGAGAAACATATAAGTTTTGGAAACAAAAATAAAGTAAGTTTAACAACTTTTTCACACTATTCTGAACCCATTGATGTTTAAGCAACTTGTACTATTAGTAACTTTCTGTCTTTTCTATTGTTTGTACTCTTATTTTGCAAAAAGCAAAAAATCCTGTCCATATATCAATGTTGAAAGCTTGAGAGATTTGTATTAAGAAGTTTGAGGGTTTTTAATCCATGTTTAAAATGCTCTCTGCAAACTTTTCTTTTTGTTTAAATGACACTAATGCTGTTTCTTCCACAATGTATGCTTGGTCATTATCTTAAATGCTATTTTGGGCCTCAATTAAAAAATAGCTACTTGTAACTGCTTTGAGAAAGCTTTCTGAATAAAATGTCATGGTGTAATTGCATTTATACTGCCTCAGTAAAGCCTTTGTTCATATACATTTTACAATTGTGCAAATTTGCAGCTCTAGCTATTTGATTTGAGGAAATGATCACAAGGACACTTTTCCTCTCATTTTGAAAAGTTACTGAACTTAAATACTACCATTGAAAAGAAGAGAGGGGAAAAAAAACGAGACGGGAGAGAGTGGGACGAGTGTATTTGTAGGAACTGTTCGATAGATGCAGGTTCACTTGCAGTTATATATTACACACCAAAGAGCTTTCTCATGTTATTTTTGAATGCTTTAAAATCATGCGTAATGTTTTTACAATTAAGATTGTTGATCAATATATTTAATAGCATTACTCTAAGTGAAAAAGAGTCTTTCAAAGTGTGACATTTCATTCTTTTAAATTATTTGAGATTCAGAGAGTGAATTGAGAGCTTCTGATTAAAAAAGCTAATACTGTGCTTTAGAATGAATGTCCGTGTCAGGAAAATCTTTAGAAAGTTAAATGACAGTAATATCAGACAAGGTTGAAGAATGAAATGGACCTTCTGGGACAACATTTTGCAGGAGGATGATTTTTATGAAATAGCATTTGATGCTAGAGAAAGTCTGTTTAACACTCTGATCAGCAATAGCTCTCTCTCTCTCTCTCTCTCTGACTTTCTTTTGTCTTTAACAAAGCACTTAGTTCAGATGTTTGTCTTCCTTCATATGTAAATAGCAAGACAATCTTCTGCAAGGTGCTGTGATTTTTTTCATTTGATAGATTATAGAAGCACAAATCCCAGATTTTATCCTTAAACTGTATGGGGTGAACTTTGTCAGTTAAGGATCTTTTTAGGATTCAAAATGACTGTTTATTATCTCTTTTGTCAATTAAATTAGTTAAGTTAATTGTGTAGATGTGTCTTCTTTGGTTTGGCTGTGCAGTGGTTTTGTAATTCTTAGGGAAAATTACAGCATTTGTGATGAAAGCTTTCTCTGAGACAATAATACATTTCTGCTATAAGGTGGCTAACAGATTATCCAGATTTGGAATGAAGAATTTCTAAATATAGGCTTTGCCTCTTAAGTTCCCAGTTTGGAGCATTTTATTTTTACTTGTAAATATCATCTGCGTATTATAGTACTTTCATGCCTGCAGGCTAAGATTACCAGTCTTCCTTTTTTTCCTCCTCCTTCTAAATATTCAATTACTCAATGGTAATTATTATTATGTGGCCTTCTTGGCTTACTGCATTATTAGATTAATATAGATTTCTTGTGCCAAATTAGCGGAAATCACTGTTATACACAACAACGAATCACTTTTTTTTAGTTTTATTTACTTTGTTGAATAACAGGAAGACTTTGACATCATGAGGTTTTATTCCTGAGACTTTTAATATAACATGTCTTTGAAAGCTGAGCAGAAGAGGGCGCATTTTTGTTTTGCTTTTTATTTTGTAGGTTTCTAATAAGTAGAAACTTTGGTGAAATTATAATTTAGTTCATTCAAAGATCTATAAACAGGGACCTTTGTGAATGAAATTACAGTTAAAATCCTCTCATCTCTGGTTATTGTTTCAGAGGTGTGTAGCAGAGGTAAGAAAAGATAAAATGAAAGAAAAGGAGCTGTCCAGGGTACTGCAGCTGATTAATATTTCCTGTTACTGTACAGAGAAAAGTGTTTACTGAAGTGTTCACAAAACTGCCACGGTTTACTACTGCTGTGTTTGGGTTTTGTTTGTTTATTTTTATTTTTTTTTCTCCTCAGAACTAGATCAGCTCTATATCAAAGTTAACTGTAAAAAATAAGTATATGTAAAACTTATTTCAGGAGCATACCATGTTTCTGTGAATTGCAAATACATCCTCAGATCCCAATAACTTTCTCAAATTGCTTATTAAAACTAATTTTTTATGCAAAGGTTTTTGTCAAAGTTACAGGCAATAAAACTTTTCCAGTCTAAATTAATCTTTGAGTATAACATAAATGGTTTCTATGGTAGTGCCGTAATGTAAACAAAACAAACAAACAAAAAAATCCCAGATCCCAATCTTACATTACTTGATTGTTTTTGAAATGAAATCTTGTCCTTATGTGACCTGAAATGTGTGGTTACAAAGCTATAGAAATCCAAACGATCATATTTGTTTGATATGAAATGAAAAAAAATAGTTAAATTGAAAGTTTAACATCATGAAATTCAAAATCCCAAGCGGTATATAAACATTAAAAGAAACTTTGGACTGCTAATCCTAGGAAATGAGTTTTATGGATTGAATTCAACAAGGCTTCAGAAATGGTTCCATCTGCTGCCTAGCAGCTGGTGAAAGGATAAATTTAATTCATTAATTCATTTGGAAAAAAGGATCCAAGTAGTAAAGACTTCATTGCTCATAATGCACATAGGTGGAAATCAAAACTGAAATTGGGTCCGGTTGATCATCTTTGATAATGAGGAACATTTTATTTGTTATTGTTATAATGATCTGGATAAGGCAGTTGACAGTATATTGACTATATGCTGTTAACGGGTATTTTTGTCTCAAAAAGTTGAGAACAGTTCTGAAGGCATAACTCCTCTTCCAGGAGGAACTTCCCTACTTTGGAATTTACAGATTACGTAGGTTTAAAAAGGTGGCATGTTTCACTGAAACATTATTGTTGTCTTTCTATGAATATTTGAAACTCTTTTCCTAATAAGTCAGTTTAAGAATGCAAAATAAAGTACCATTAAAAATTAGAAAATAAACTTATTCACTGTTGAGTCACCGTAATAATCCCAAATCAGAATGTCAGATGTAAACAGTTTATTACTTTCCTTTACTTTTCTATTAGAGTCACAAGCCTCATCTTTTCTTTCCTGTCTTCACCCATTTTCTTTTCATAGTAAGTGCTAAAAACTTAAAGTAAGAGTAAGAAGGGACAATATAAATTAAGGACTGAGAAAGGGCAATATCAAAATTTCCAGAGTTATAAAGGCAAAATTAATTGGACAAATGCTTCAATAACAACTTGACATTTAAGTTCTATCTATAAAGTTATCCAAATTAACACAATCTCCAGATACAGATTTTTTTTTTTTTAAAGCGGTTGCCTCTACTTCTTTTAATTTAAATCACAAGCAGTGAGTGCAAAGTTATCTAAGGCTTTCAAACCGGGAGATGATCAAGTGACAAAGGCTCTTGTTCACCTTATACCAGGCACACAGGTAAATGTGCACCTCATTACTTGATGAGGGATATACAGGATTGATGAACCTGTTATCCTGAAACCAGTTAAATATCTGCCAATGCCTATTTTCAGTGTTTCTGCTTGAGATGATGATTTCATGAATGATATTTGGCTTTTCCTGTTTCCTGTGTAGCCCATAGCTCGCTGTGGTGGGTTTGTTGGAATTACTATAAAGGTTCTGTTCGCACCCTGTGGGTTGGGTTAAGAATTAGGATTTATGCATTTACTTCTACTGTTGCATTGTTTATACAGCTTTGGTTTAGTTTTGATCCCTTTTTTTTTGCCTTTGAGGCTCTTCCACAGTGTCAGCTGCTGACTGATAGTAGGAGAACGGCCTCGTGGTGTGAATGAAAGGGACCTAGCGGTTGGTAAACAGAGATAAGGAATAAATAGAGCACAGGCAAAAGGAGATAGTTCTGTGGGAGCCCAGATTGCCGCCAGTCTGTTCAAGTGAGATGCAGTGCCTGTCCTTTTCCCAGATTAAATTAGTGTGCGAAATCTCCAGTGACCTCCTCCCCTTCTCCCCATACTCTTTAGCCAAGCTGAACAGCCTCTGCTGTAAAGTATTCATTTTATCCAGGGACAAGTTGGACAATAGAACTCTCCCTGTTACTTATGGACAGCTGTCGTGATTCATAGGGCTTTTCAGCATTTCATTTTTCATAAGAGTTAAAAGGGTTTTACCTTGTAACTGACGAGAGGTTAGAAATGCAAAGATGCCAGCCCTGAGGTTGCCTGTAGTGAGGAAGTTAACAAATAAATATCACCCCCCCCGCCCCCCCCCCCCCGTCCCCTCCCCAATGTGCAAAAGGCTGTGTATTTTGTTAGTGCTGCTCTTCTTATTTAAAGGGGTTTAATTGTGATAACATGATTACACTGAAGCATGAACTGCATGGAGAAATTAACAAGCAGAGACACAGCGATATGCAGGGCCCCCAAGGGTCCCTAAATTAAAGGTGACCAGTGCAAACCCAGTGGGTGCCCTTTTCCCTTCTTTGCCCTTGCTTTTGCCTACATCTCCTAATACTTTATTACCTGCAAATAACTCCCAGGAAAGAGTAAACCCTCATGAGATACCTCTGTGGTCCCGTATTTTTTTTTTTAGTGATTTACTGCAAATATATTCAGCATTTTGACTGATTAAATAGACCTTCGGCAACCTTGAGGGTCACTGTGTAGAGTATGTACATAGAAAATGCATCAGCCCATTGTACCCTGGCAGCTAATGAGATTGGTCGTTAAGTAAATGACACAAAGCCTACAAAAAAAGCTTAGCAGCTCACTAGAGTATCACAGAGTGTCCCTGCACACCACACAACGACACAAACAGTGGACTAACCTAGCCCACCCCTGCTTTATTCTACATCACTGCTTCCCTGATGTCAGCGTGAGAGGCAGAACAAAGGCTAAAAGGCACACGGTAAGTCAGTC